CTTGACAGGGATGGAATGGTCTTTGGACCCAACACATAGAGGGTTAGCATTGTCCTTGAAAGGAATTGAATGGTCTTCGGACCCGACACATAGAGGGTTAGCATTGTCATTGACAGGGATGGAATGGTCTTCGGACCCAACATATAGAGGGTTAGCATTGTCCTTGACAGGGTTGGAATGGTCTTCGGACCCAACACATAGAGGGTTAGCATTGTCCTTGAAAGGAATTGAATGGTCTTCGGACCCGACACATAGAGGGTTAGCATTGTCATTGACAGGGATGGAATGGTCTTCGGACCCAACATATAGAGGGTTAGCATTGTCCTTGACAGGGTTGGAATGGTCTTCGGACCCAACACATAGAGGATTAGCATTGTCCTTGAAAGGAATTGAATGGTCTTCGGACCCAGCATATAGAGGGTTAGCATTGTCCTTGACAGGGTTGGAATGGTCTTCGGACCCAACACATAGAGGATTAGCATTGTCCTTGACAGGGATGGAATGGTCTTCGGATCCAACACATAGAAGGTTAGCATTGTCCTTAACAGGGATGGAATGGTCTTCGGGCCCAACACATAGTGGGTTAGCATTGTCCTTGACTGGGTTGGAATGGTCTTCAGATCCAACACATAGAGGGTTAGCATTGTCCTTGAGAGGGATGGAATAGTCTTTGGACCCAACACATAGAGGGTTAGCATTGTCCTTGACAGGGATGGAAGGGTCTATGGACCCAACACATATAGGGTTAGCATTTTCCTTGACAGAGATGGAATGGTCTTCAGACCCAACACATAGAGGATTAACATTGTCCTTGAAAGGAATTTAATGGTCTTCGGACCCAACACATAGAGGGTTAACATTGTCCTTGACATGGTTGGAATGGTCTTCGGGCCCAACACATAGAGGATTAGCATTGTCCTTGACAGGGATGGAATAGTCTTCGGACCCAACACATAGAGGGTTAGCATTGTCCTTGACAGAGATGGAATGGTCTTCAGACCCAACACATAGAGGATTAATATTGTCCTTGAAAGGAATTTAATGGTCTTCGGACCCAACACATAGAGGGTTAACATTGTCCTTGACATGGTTGGAATGGTCTTCGGGCCCAACACATAGAGGATTAGCATTGTCCTTGACAGGGTTGGAATGGTCTTCGGACCCAACACATAGAGGATTAGCATTGTCCTTAAAAGGAATTGAATGGTCTTCGGACCCAACACATAGAGGGTTAGCATTGTCCTTGAAAGGAATTGAATGGTCTTCGGACCCGACACATAGAGGGTTAGCATTGTCCTTGACAGGGATGGAATGGTCTTCGGACCCAACACATAAAGGGTTAGCATTGTCCTTGAAAGGAATTGAATGGTCTTCGGACCCGACACATAGAGGGTTAGCATTGTCCTTGACAGGGATGGAATGGTCTTCAGACCCAACATATAGAGGGTTAGCATTGTCCTTGACAGGGTTGGAATGGTCTTCGGACCCAACACATAGAGGATTAGCATTGTCCTTGAAAGGAATTGAATGGTCTTCGGACCCAGCATATAGAGGGTTAGCATTGTCCTTGACAGGGTTGGAATGGTCTTCGGACCCAACACATAGAGGATTAGCATTGTCCTTGACAGGGATGGAATGGTCTTCGGATCCAACACATAGAAGGTTAGCATTGTCCTTAACAGGGATGGAATGGTCTTCGGGCCCAACACATAGAGGGTTAGCATTGTCCTTGACAGGGTTGAAATGGTCTTCAGATCCAACACATAGAGGGTTAGCATTGTCCTTGAGAGGGATGGAATGGTCTTCAGACCCAACACATAGAGGGTTAGCATTGTCCTTGAAAGGAATTGAATGGTTTTCGGACCCAACACATAGAGGGTTAGCATTGTCCTTGACAAGGTCGGAATGGTCTTCGGACCCAACACATAGAGGGTTATCATTGTCCTTGACAGGGTTGGAATGGTCTTAGGACCCAACACATAGAAAGTTAGCATTGTCCTTGAAAGGAATTGAATGGTCTTCGGACCCAACACATAGAGGGTTACCATTGTATTTAACAGGGATGGAATGGTTTTCGGATCCAACACATAGAGGGTCAGCATTGTCCTTAACAGGGATGGAATGGTCTTCGGACCCAACACATAGAGGATTAGCATTGTCCTTGACAGGGATGGAATGGTCTTCGGACCCAACACATAGAGGGTTAGCATTGACCTTGACAGGGATGGAATGGTCTTCGGACCCAACACATAGAGGATTAGCATTGTCCTTGACAGGGTTGGAATGGTCTTCGGACCCAACACATAGAGGGTTAGCATTGTCCTTGACAGGGTTGGAATGGGTCTTCGGACCCAACACATAGAGGGTTAGCATTGTCCTTGACAGGGATTGAATGGTCTTCGGACCCAACACATAGAGGATTAGCATTGTCCTTGACAGGAAGGGAATGGTCTTCGGACCCAACACATAAAGAATTAGCATTGTCCTTGACAGGAAGGGAATGGTCTTCGGACCCAACACATAGAGGATTAGCATTGTCCTTGAAAGGTATTTAATGGTCTTCGGACCCAACACATAGAGGGTTAGCATTGCCTTTGACAGGAAGGGAATGGTCTTCAGACCCAACACATAGAGGGTTAGCATTGTCCTTGAAAGGAATTGAATGGTCTTCGGACCCAACACATAGAGGATTAGCATTGTCCTTGACAGGAAGGGAATGGTCTTCGGACCCAACACATAGAGGGTTAGCATTGCCTTTGACAGGAAGGGAATGGTCTTCGGACCCAACACATAGAGGGTTAGCATTGTCCTTGAAAGGAATTGAATGGTCTTCGGACCCAACACATAGAGGATTAGCATTGTCCTTGAAAGGAATTGAATGGTCTTCGGACCCAACACATAGAGGGTTAGCATTGTCCTTGACAGGGTTGGAATGGTCTTCGGACCCAACACATAGAGGATTAGCATTGTCCTTGACAGGGTTGGAATGGTCTTCGGACCCAACACATAGAGGGTAACATTGTCCTTGATAGGGATGGAATGGTCTTCGGACTCAACCAATAGAGGGTTAGCATTGTCCTTGACAAGGTCGGAATGGTCTTCGGACCCAATACATAGAGGATTAGCATTGTCCTTGACAGGGTTGGAATGGTCCACGGACCCAACACATAGAGGGCTAGCATTGTCCTTGACAGGGTTGGAATGGTCTTCGGACCCAACACATAGAGGGTTAGCATGGTCCTTGACATGGTCGGAATGGTCTTCGGACCCAACACAGAGGATTAGCATTGTCCTTGACAGGGTTGGAATGGTTTTCGGACCCAACACATAGAGGGTTAGCATTGTCCTTGACAATGTTGGAATGGTCTTCGGACCCAACACATAGAGGGTTAGCATTGTCCTTGACAAGGTCGGAATGGTCTTCGGACCCAACACATAGAGGGTTAGCATTGTCCTTGACAAGATTGGAATGGTCTTCGGACCCAACACATAGAGGATTAGCATTGTCCTTGTCAAGGTCGGAATGGTCTTCGGACCCAACACATAGAGGGCTAGCATTGTCCTTGACAGGGTTGGAATGGTCTTCGGACCCAACACATATAGGATTAGCATTGACCTTGACATAGGTGGAACGATCTTCAAACCAAATTATCTGCCTTCAGCCTGAACATAAAATATGGAAAGGACACTTTTACATTTTAAAATTTGACTACCATGGCTTACGTAGGTGGTGACGTTTGCAATATTTCAACAGATTTTATGTCCCAAAACTCAACCAGCAAAATCCTGCTCTCTCTAAAGTAGGGCGAGTCGATCTGAGAGAATTGTATTAGTCGCCTCGAGTATTAGATGAAAGGATTTCACGGCGCGCTAAACTCGTAGAGCCAATTTGGACGCTGGGCTAGTGTCCTGGAGGCATGATCGCATTTACAGCAACTCTGGGCCTGTTCTTAACTCTAGGTGTTGTCTGCTGCTGTCATATTTGATTATATCCTACTCTATTTAATAGATATTGCGACAATATATACTCATGGACTAAACTTAAGGAAGTTGTACCTTTTATCATGTATATCGGGATTCAGACAATTACTCTATAAGATATTTGATTCACAGTGACCTCTATTGAAGATACATTAGATAACCGAGTGTGAACAAAATTGCCTCTGTTTCCTCCAAGAAAACAGATGACAGGCGAGATCGAAGACTCTCTACCTCCTTATGTCCTGTCTATGAGTGTATATAGATGAAATAAGGTAATTATATGAAAAATATTATAACTATGACGAGATATTTTGATAATGAATATCTTTTTTTTTTAAACATGAAATGCTAATTTTCAAGTGAAAATCGTTTTTCGACAGATTCAAATGAAGAAACAACAAAAGTGTTTAAAGTGTTCTAACTAGAATTATTCGATATTATTTTATATTTGCCTTGAAGAACGTATTTTACTAGTTAGAAAAAGCGTACATTTCAAATTAATAATGGGTATCCATTGTAAAAATACCTTTATAATTAAGTATATATTTTTTGAATAGTACACAGAAGTAACACTGTACTGGGATCACAATTGATAAATTAAGAAAAATATATTTTCTAATTAAAGAGTAATAACACGCCATCTCTATATTAGAAAAGTAAACATTTAAGCATACAAGTTTCTTTTAAGCATAAAACGTATATCTACTGTCTTTATTGCGATGGAAATTATATTGGGAGGGCCTTACTCATCAGTGGTAAAACCTCCCAGCGGTTTCTCCAAGCGGTCTGGTAGATTAAATTGACAAAACCGTTGAGAGGGTTCACCAATGATGAACCAAGACCTCCCAATATATTGCATTAAATACAGTATAAGTGTATAATACACTGCGGCTTGTGATTGTAAAACAACATTTGAAGTTACACCGCATGAATTTCTTTTCAATGAAAAACCAAAATTTTTATAAGTTACTATAATATTATAAGTTACTTTATGTATTATTTATGAACGGAAAAATACGTCCAGGGTACCCTAGTGGACATGGCATCTGCCCGGTAAGCGGAACATTGTGGGTTCGATTCCTATCCCCCTGGACACTTTTATTTTTCTGTTCATCATTACTTTTCATAATTCACCCTTTCATACCTCATCCAAAAATGTTAGAAATAGTCAATATTTCACCTTGAAATAAATTTTGATTTTTCATTGAAAAGAAACTCGTGCGGTGTAACTTCAAGTGTTGTTTTACAGTATAAGTGTGTTTTATGCTTATATATTTTCCTTACTTACATATTCTAATCGTGCAAATTGAAGTTGCTGATAACATACGCCATCTATCTTAATAAACATCAACTAATCGTTGATTATCAATAATTTCAGAATATTTGACTAAATACTTGATAAATATTATGAAACCATGTATGCGTGATTAAGTATTTGTTTATTTACAAGGTTGTCTCAAACGTTCATAAACACTTGCAAAAAAAATTGAAATACCAATATTATTCGCCGTTATGTATATAATATTTGTATTATGTATAAAGTAATTGTATTATGATGCATCTTATTTATTCGTATACAGTAGAACCTGTCTGTAAAGGACACTTAATTGCAGAGCCAAAGTATCCTTTAGGGAGAGGTTTCCTCTTACCGGAGAGTTTCTAAATACAGTAGAACCTCCTTCTAAAGGACACCTAATTGCAGAGCCGAAGTGTCCTTTAGGGAGAGGTTTCCTCTTACCGGAGAGTTGCTAAATACAGTAGAACCTCCATCTAAAGGACACCTAATTGCAGAGCCAAAGTGTCCTTAACAGATAGGTTTCCTTTTACCAGAGAGTTGCTAAATTGTAAAAATGATGACTTCACAAATGAAAACTGTCCTTTGTAGAGAGATGTCCTCTAGCGTGAGTGTCCTCTCATGGAGGTTCTACTGTATATAAATAAGGATCAATTAAGGAGATTAATATTGATTTAAGTTAAAACGAGTTTTTTTTTAATACAAATTTCGAAACTGATCCTTCTTTCTTATTGGATAGAACCATTGAGACAAACCAGATGGAGCTGTAAGAAAGTTTCTATTATAGTGGTCCTGGATAATTGGAAGTTCAAATAGTCGGAATTTTGAATGACTGGAAGTTGGTATATGTTGGATCGTTTCTGAAGACAACTCTCAGATTTATAAAATTAATTTATTAAACTTTAAACATGTTTAGATATAGAGAGAGAAACGAGTTAATTACCTCGTATTTAAGGCTACAAAAGAATCATCTAATTTACATATATCGTTCTAACCAGATTCAACTTGTGCAAAACAAACGAAAAAGCAAAAAATAAACAAATTAATAATAGAAGGTAAGTTCCTATTTTTTTACAAGCTTTCACACTCAAAGAATATTCAACTTCTTGCTTCAGTATAACTGAAAATAGGATAATAAGAAGTATGATTAATTGAAAGTTTGGATAAAAAATTGGAATAAATCAGATAATCTTGTATATTTATATATTTTGTATTTAAACCTATATAATCTTATATGGACATTGTAATAAAGTAATGTCAATCTATCCCTCTCTATCTCGTAGGAACAACCATATTTTACTTAGAATAAGATTAATTTGAAAATCTTCAATAGAGGAAATTGATGTTTTGGTGTTCCATAATTTCCTAAAATTTGGCAGCAAATTTGACAGGAGATATAATTCTAAATGAGGATCTATCTTCTAATCATTTTATGAAATTTGAGCTTCCTTAGTTTTTTTTTTTTTTTTTTATCAAACAGTTTTTATTCCACGTATTCCCCTTGTTATAAAATCACTTTATTAGGTACCGCTCAAAAAGAGCAACCTATTTTATGATAATTGCAACAATGAATAATATGTGAAGGTTATTCACATATTAAACAAAATGTTAACGCGGGATACAATCCCGGTTCATGACTGTCGGGAATCGAGGGTGTTACCTACTCGTCCACCGACCTTTATTCCCCTAGCTTATTTCCACATTTAAGTCGTTAATTACAGATATAAGAGAAAGATATCTTTCAAAAGTCAAACCCTAATAGTAAGTGCAAGTAGCCAAAAGCATACTTGTAAGTAGAAAAGTCTAACTTCTTTCTACATGCATAGACATGTGTTGTTGTTGTCGTGTCCAAAGAAGAGTCTCAGATGTCTCCATGCATCTCCATCACATCAGCAGCAATATCCACTATCTATTGGAAAATGGGTGCCGTTGCCACGTTATCTACTCCGGGATATATAGGGAGGAGAAACTCATGCAAGGGAGGAGGAAGAAAGATAAGAAAAAGAAGTCGAAGAACGAAGCTATGTGGTGGACTCCAAGCAAGCTGCTGCCTCAAGAGGTCGGACTGCTGCTTACCGCGGACGCCGGTGGACTTCCTGGAAGATTCTAGAAGGTTCTACGACATGTGTTGTTGTTGTCGTGTCCAAAGAAGAGTCTCAGATGTCTCCATGCATCTCCATCACATCAGCAGCAATATCCACTATCTTTGCTCTTCATTGGAAAATGGGTGCCGTTGCCACGTTAGTCACCTTGGAAACGAACCAGAATTTGGTCGAATATTCCAAGGGTCCAGGGGGGACCGCAGGGAGGTGTGGACTTCTCCCCCTTATAGTAAAAGAAGTAGCCAACTAGTACCCATCATGATTATCATGGCCTGTACCATGTTAATAGGTTGTCACTCATATTCCCCTGAAAGGTCGAGAATCAAATAAGCTATTGGTTGTTGTATATTTATTAATTAATTGTTACCACAGAGTGTGTGTAAGCTCACAGGCGCTAACTGAAACAGAAAAAAAAGTTACTTTGTTTAATATTAGTTTCCCTTTTATACTTTGTTATCTCTCTTATAAATCAATAAATATAATGTTTAATTAATTATTATTGGAATCAGTTTCATTAAAAATATTCTAAGCAAAGTCAACAATTTTTCCAAATCAACTTTCAACCAACAAATTTTCTTCAAAGCTACAGTAAATATATATATATATATTTTTTTTTTTTCAAATTTCAAAACTGTGTGGGAATTACAGTCTGAATTGAACTATTTTTAAATTTAATAACATTTATTTTTGCATCATGCCTTTACAAAATTTGGGATGCCTTCACATCATGGGATAGTATGTGCTTTGTTTACCTATGTAATATTTTATTAATTATTTATATATTTTTCAAAGCCATCAAAGTCTGCACCTAATTTGTGCCACACATATATAGAAGATATTGTTGGAATATTACAGAGTAACAATGGCTATAGATGAGACTGAGTTTGAAAAGGAACTTGTATGTATATAATGTTTATAGTTTTCGTTGTTTTCATGTAGACATATATACCAAGATTTGTTTTGTATAATTGCTATTAATAATAAATAATATGTAAAGTTAAATTGGTTACGGATTCAACCTTCCTACTTACTTTGATAACATAACAGATATCTCTATAAAACAATGTTTTAAAGCTTGTAACAATCATTTAGAAAGCTACTCCCTTAAATGTAAAATTGAATAAATATCCTATCAATTGAATTGAATAAATATAAAAATATTTGCAGTGTTTCTTTATTCATATATTGGGAGACAAGCTTTCACGTTGTCGCAATTCATCAGGCCACTGGCTCCGTAAAAACGTGCAACATACATATAATAGTTATTCACAGAAATCTTCTTTCTTATCTCCACTCAATCATTCAGGATATCAAGTTGTGACCCTTGATGGTGTCTATTTGACAACAGAAGAGAAGATTAACATATTCTTTTCCCGATACTTAAGATGTACAGAGGTTCTGACTAACTCAACAGTTTTTGATTTCCAGACTTAAGTCTGGTCATTTACGTACAATGACTTTCCAGAATGGTTGCAAGGTTTTCCCACTATGTACTAAGTGCAATTCTCAACCTGCAACCCCAAAACACATCTTCTTCTTCTTATCTCCACTCAATCATATTAGAGTATCAATCTTGTTTGACAACCATTATGACTGGGTGAAGTAGAATGCGACTGCCTTTGTCATTAAGACTGGGAGCACTACTCAGTGGCAGGCTGACTTAGCTCTAAAAGAAATGGCCACCTCTGACATGAGGAACAGACGCCATGTGCAGCCGCTCCTAACATGGAGTACAAACGCTGCTTATCCTGTATCCCTGGATTAAGAGCCCTTACAAGGTACTATCAGCCGGCCCAGCTGAGCCCAGGTTTTTTAGCGAGCTTGTTACTGCTCCCCCTCCTCCTTTTTCATCCAGGCTTGGGACCGGCAAAGGCGGAGTTGATACACAGAAATAAATTTATGAAATCAAATATAAAAATAGTTTTCAGTTGTAGAGGGTTAGGGGGACAGTTTCAATGGGAGTGGAATTATCTGTGTTGAATATGCTGGAACTGTTGGGGTAGATCTTCTGTTTATGCTGTTATTTGGAGATTAAATATTAAGATCGCACGTCTTTGTGGAGCCAGTTGTCTGATGAAGCGCGAACGCGTGAAACCTTGCCTCCCAATTTCTGAATAAACTCTGCAAAAAATTTTATATTTATTTAAATAATTATAATATTATTTGCATCTATATTACAAATACCTATTAATATTACATTTTTTTAAATTTTAAATATTCTTTAAAAAAGCATCATAGGGGTTTTATGAAAAAGTGAAACTTGTATAAGCTTATGATTTTACTTTGTTTTAAAAATGAATCGATGTTGGTTCCATATGCTTGAATTGAATATTACACCTTAGTTCTATATATTTTATTGCTTGAAAGGAACACAACAAAACAAAAAGAAACTACAAATGCAAAATGATTTGATAACTAAGAAAAAAAACTATATAATAAATGATGATGATAAAAAATTGAATATGTCTGCCAGAAAAAATGCTTCTATGAATTGAAAAATAAGAATAATTACAAAATTAACATATAGACTTCAAATAGGGGTCATGAAAACACACATATACCAAATATCTAAAAATATATATCTACACCAAGATAGTGGACATTGCTGTTGCTGTGATGGAGATGCATGAAGACATCTGAGACTCTTCTTTGGACACGACAACAACAACAACATATCATCATAATTTTTCTTTAATCT